CGGCGGGCTCTATGCTCTTGGGAAGCACCCGAGTCTTTTCTGGATTCACAGTGCAAGCTTCGGGGATCATGAAGCGGTGCGCACTTCCACCAATTTCCCTGCTGCAGGCTCCAGGAACCCCCGAAGCACCGCGTCCCTTCTGGGTTCACAGCGTGAGAGTCGGGAATCCTGGAGGGGTGCGTGCTCCCCCAAGTTCACCACCGCAGGTTCCAGAAACCTGTGAATACTTGTGCCCGTTCCTTGTTCATGGCTGCAAGGTCTGGGTCTTCCATAGAACCACACTCCCACTGGGCTGGGGGCACGGGCACACAACCAGGCCGCCCCTGGTCTCGTTGGCTGGGGGCACTCCCCCCTCCCAGGGCTATGCGTGGGTGCCTGTAGCCCCTGTGGGACTGTTTCCCAGTCCAACTCCCTTCTCTGAACCTTCAAGCAACAAGGCCTCCCCTGGTGTTGCTCAACCCCATTGTCCGGGGAGGGAGCAGTGGCTCCTCTCTCTTGGGTGCCCTGAGGCAGACATGGGAGCACTGGGCCTGGGGGCTGCAACCCTCCTGATCCCTGAGCTGATCCCTGAGCTGATCCCTGGGTCCCTGTTGTCCTGAAGCGGTCTCCTTACCATCTGGTTTTTCAATGTCCGCTATAATTTTTGATGTCCTGTTTTCATAAATGTTGCGATAACCTAGGCCCCTTGCTCTGTTCCTCCGCCGATCAGCGAGTTTCTCTCCCCTGCACAGAGGAAGGGGATCATGCTTCCTCCAAAAAAGCCGCCATCTTAAGACCCCAGACCCAGAAGTCCATTGTTTTTTCTTTCTCTACATCTTCTTCTTAAAGCAAACCCTTAACAATTTTTGTAGTACTGGTTTGGTGGTAACAAGTTCGTTTAGGTTTTCCTTGTCTAGGAAGCTATTTCTCCTTCTATTTTAAATGATAGCCTTGCTGGTTAAAGTAGCCTTGGTTGTACGTCTTTGTTTTTTCATCACCTTGAATATTTCACATCACTCCCTTCTGGCCTGATATGTTTCCATTGAGAAATCAGTTGATAGTCTAATTGGTGCTCCCTTGTATGCAACTGCCTGCTTTTGTCTTGTGGCTCTTATGATTCTCTCTTTGTCCTTAAGCCTTTTTATTTTAATTATGATGTGTCTCATGTAGGCCTCTTTGAGCCCAACTTATTGGGGATTCTCTGAGCTTCCTGGAGTCGTGTGTCTTTTTCCTTCACCAGATTAAGGAAGTTTTCAGTTGTTATTTCTTCAAATTGTTCTCAACCCCTTGCTTGCTTCTGTTCTTCTGGAATTTCTAGGGTGCAGAAATATTATTATGCTTCATGTTGTCTAAAATGTTCTTTAATCTTTCCTCATTTTTTTTTAAAACTTCTTTCTTTTTGCTGCTCTGCCTGGGTGTTGTTGTTGTTGTTGTTGTTGTTGTTGTTGTTTTTTCTAATTTGTCTTCCAAATCAATGATTCTATTTTCTGCTTCATCAAACCTGTTTATTCCTTCTAGTGTGTTATTTATTTTACATATTGCATTCTTTATTTCTGATTGATCCTTTCTATGATTTCTATGTATTTTTTAATGCTGTTGAGTATCGTTATAATCATTACTCTAAACTCTTTATCTGATAAATTGCTTGCTTCCATTTCATGTAGCTCATCTTCTGGGAGAATTCTCTTATTCTTTCATTTGGGGTCTGTTTCTTTGTCTTCCCATTTTGTCTGCTTCTTTGCATTTTCTGCCTTAATTGTTAAATTAATCTGTTGTTTTATTTATGTGTATATGTATTTATTTAATTACTTTTTATTGTTGTTCTGTCAAAGTTGCCCCAACTTCTCCCCACCCCCATAGGTCTCTCTTACCCTGAAACCCACTGTTCCCACAGTCAATCCTCACCCTGTTATCTATGTCCATGGATATTTGATATGTGTTTCTTGACTAGACCCTTCCCCTTCTTTCCCCTATTAACTTATTTCCCCTTCACATTTGGGTTCTGTCAGTTTGCTTCCTATTTCCATGTCTCTGGTTCTATTTTGTTCCTTTGTTTGTTTTGTTCATTAGGTTCCATTTATAGGTGAGATAATATGGTATTTGTTTTCCTCCCCCTAATTTACTTCACTTAGCACAATCCTCTCCATTTCCATCCATGGCGTCACAACAGGTAGGAGTTCCTTCTTTCTTTCTGCTGCACAGTATTCCACTGTGTAAATGTACCACGGGTATTTCATTTTATTTTATTTTACTTTGTAGCATAGTTTTTTGATCCACTCATTACTTGATGGGTACTTTGGCTGCTTCTAATATTTGCTTATCATAAATAATGCTGCTATGAACATTGAGGCACATGGGTTGTTTTGAATTGGTGTTTTAGGATTCTTAGGGTATAATCCTAGCAGTGGAATAACTGGATCAATAGGCAGTTCCATCTTTAGTTTTTGTTTTTGTTTTTTGTTTGTTTTTTTTTTTTAGGAAAATTCATACTGCTTTCCACAGTGGTTGTACCAGTCTGCATTCCTACTAACAGTGTACTAGGGTTCCCTTTTCTCCACAACCTTGCCAGAACTTATTTTTGTTGATTTGTTAATGATGGCCATTCGGACTGGTGTGAGGTAGTATCTCATTGTGGTTTTAATTTGCATTTCTCTGATGGCTAATGATGTTGAGCATTCTTTCATATATCTTTGGGCCCTCTTTATGACTACCTTGGAGAAGTATCTGTTCAGGTCCTTTTCCCATTTTTGTTAAAGATTTTATTTATTTATTTTTAGAGAGGGAAGGGAGGGAGAAAGAGAGAGAGAGAGAGAAACATCAATGTGAGGTTGCTGGGGGCCATGGCCTGCAACCCAGGCACGTGCCCTGACTGGGAATCAAACCTGTGACACTTTGGTTCACAGCCTGTGCTCAATCTACTGAGCTATGCCAGCCAGGGCTCCTTTTCCCATTTTTTAATTGGGTTGTTTGTCTTCCTGGTGTTGAGTCATATTACTTCTTTATATATTTTGGAGATCAAACCCTTGTCCAAGTTATCATTGGCAAATACATTTTCCTATATGGTTGGTTTCCTTTTCATTTTGCTGATATTTTCTTTAGCCATGCAGAAGCTTTTCAATTTCATAATACTTAAGGGAAAAACCACTGAAGAAGTTATAACCACTGTAAACATACATATGCCTAACATAGGAACCCCAAATATATAAGGAAAATCTTGGAGGACTTAAGAAAGTAATCAACCACAACACACTCATAGTAGGGGATTTTAACAGTCCACTGTCAACAATGGATAGCTCTTCCAAAGAATTAATAAGGATATTGTGACACTGACCAACAGTCTAGACAAATGGATTTAATTGATTATACAAAATCTTTTACCCAAAGAAGCAAAATATACATTTTTCAAATGCATATGGAACATTTTCAAAGATAGCCCACATGGGAGGACACAAAATAAGCCTCAAAAATTCCAGAAAATTAAAATTGTATCAAGCATCATCTCAGATTACTATGTCTTGAGACTAAAACCAACCTCAAGGAAAAAAAACACAAATTCATAGAGATTGAATAACATGCTATTCAAAATAAATGGGTTAACACTAAACTAGTCAGTTATGAGATCGATCAGTTATTAAATTAATCAAGTTGTGATCAGCAGCCTGGCTTTAGCTCCACAGGTTAGGGAAGAGGCCCTCTTGTGGCTGGAGTTGTTGCTTCTCTCAGGTTGAAGGCCCTTGGAGAGGAGTGCTCTGCCTGAGAAAGGTGGCTTCTGCTATGTGGGGAATGACTGAACACTGGGATTCTGGAGGCTGTTCCTTCAGTTCTCTCCCCAGTGCCACCAATCCCAGACTCTAGTCCACTCTGCCTTCTGTCTGCCAGAGCCCTGGGTAAGTGGCTGCAAAAGAAAGTTTGTGCATTGGCCCTTTAAGAGGCTCTATGCATCTGCAGCTGTGTCTCTCTGGCAGACAGAAAACCTGCTGCTTTTCACAGCTGAATGTTACATGGGTTCCTTTCTGGCTCTGGTCCTGTAGGCTAGGGAGCCCAACTTGAAGTTTAGACCCCACATTTCTCAGGAGGAACCCTCTGGCCGCTGAAATATCCCTTCAGTATTTCAGCTTCCACCCATGGGAGCCCAGCCAGCCCTCTTGTGTTTCCCCCGCACTCTCTTATCAATCTCTTTGTGGTGAAGTGGTTTCTTCTGTATGCCCCTAATTGTAAGGCTTCCCTCCAGCTAGTGTTCAGTTGGTTATTCAGGCAGATTTCTCTATAATTTAGCTGTAATTCCAGGTTGGTCCTGGGAGGTGATTAGTGTAGCTTCCATTTACTCCTCTGCCATCTGGGATCTCTGCATCAGGGTTATTTTGAAGTTCCTCCAATGATTGTAACAACACATGTTTGAGACCCCCTGTTAGGAGGATCAATCAAGTCAAACAATTCAACATGTTGAGCTCATGATTGCTCTAAGTGACCAAAACCTTTAGAGGAAGCAAGGCCAAATGTCCTGGGATATCCAGATGACCAAACTTCCTCTCTGTCTGCAATGCACTAGACTGGCTATGGGTCTCACTCTGGAAACATAGTCAAATGCAGCAAGGAGTTGAAATTTTTCTACATACTCAAGTTTTGCAGAACCAAATTTTGAGGCCAGCTAATCATGTCTCAATAAACTTCTTTCCCACACCATTTTCTGGTTTACCATACCCAAAGAAAGCCCCCACCTTCTGCAGACCAGTATCAACAGTCATTTCAAGTCCATTTGAAAGACAATGATAATAGTACACGCCATTTAGCTTCTGAAAATGGGGCAACAGGAAAAATAATGGAAAAGCCAATACATGAATGGCAGGGTAACACACTGCAAAAAATTTTGGGAATTACAGTGTTAAGGAATTAAGCAGTCCCAATCTCCCCATGTCACAGCAGCAATGAGAAAGTTTGAATTGTTTGTCAAGTTCCTTCTTTGTTTACCTTCACAGCATAATACTTTAATGGAAACAAAGCAATGAGTGAAGAAAACCTACCAGTGCATCAGCTTTGTGCTTCAGCTTCTTAGCCTCTTGCATGTAATAATCAGCATTGCAAACCCTAAGCATACAAAATAAACTCTATTAGAAACAAATGGTTCATCTTTTCATTAAAACCTGAATAGTCAAAAATGTTTTTTTAATAAATTCATTCCTATGTAATGAGAAGGGCAGAATAATGCTATCATTCATACAATAACTAACCTCAAAACAATTCTGTAAATGAAATCTGAAGTGCATAGTGGCCCATTAGAATAAACACCTACATTCTCCAACCCCAATCATTCCAGTTATCCAAACAAATCCAACAAAATCAAGCTGTAAAAACTCTTGGTTGGCCCAGAGTTCTATCTGAGTACATTGATAAGAAAGGAGGACAAATAACTAGAATTAAACACCTGCCTTTGAAAACAGTAACAGAGACTGACAATTAAAATGGGTCAAAGGTATTTCTTGGTAAAGATAGGAAAGTGTGGGGAGGAGGGATATACTTTTAATGCTATAGGAACTGCTGCCCAGGTCTTATTTCGGATAACACATTGCATTATACTAGAAAAGTTATACTGACTCCACCTCCCATTCACCACTCCCAAACTGAATCCATTTTAATCTGGGGACAACATACGAGTCATCAAAAGTGAGCTTGGGTCTCCAGACACTGGTGATGCTGGTGGACAGAAGTGGGAGGGCTGCCCAGGATGTCATCTCCAGATGACTGCTATCCATTAGGCCAGTAGTGGTGGTAGAGGTGGTGGTGGAAATGATAGTGGTAGTGCTTGTGGTAGTGGCTGAAGCAGTGGCAGTGGCCATGACAGGGGCAGTGACAATGGCAGTTGTGGTGGCAGTGGCAATAGTAGTGTTGGTGGCAGTAACAGTGGCAGAGGCTGCCTTTTTTGGAGGGTCTCCATCCTGGGAGAAAGGAAGACAAATAACTTCCATTAGGTCTAGCTTTTTAGAACATCTTGTCAGAACATCTTTTCATAAATGCTATGAATATTAAGCACACTAACAAACAAGGCAAGGGAAAAGAAAACAATGGACACAGCTTGAGGATAAATATTTATCCTGGTATATTTTATTAACTCTGTGGATTAACAGATTTTGTTCTATGATGACACCAAATACTAAGTCAGGTGCTTGGGATACATAGCCCAATCACCCCATGGATACAGCCATTAGCAAATGTCTAAATCTGGTAAGGGATGTGAGGGGAGAGGGAAAAACAGGAAAGGGAGGGAGGGAGAGGGAGTGGGTGAGGTAGAAGTGTATAATTTTGATAAGTAAACCAGCCCAGAAACTTTCACTAGGATAAGTACTCACATTACTCTGCAAGATACAAGATACAGTGAAGTCAAATACCATCAAACCAGACAAGATACAGTGCAGTCAAATACCACCAAACCTGCAATAATCATTATTCTAGGACCAAGGCCAAATGGGCCCTTTTATTCATGTGAGGAGCTTGACTGATTTCCAGCTAAGTGAATGTTACATGAATGTCTCCTCATTTTGAAGTCTTCAGATGGTGAAAGCTCATTTTGACAAGGTCAAAAATCAAATGGGTGAGAGACTTCTGAGATTCATTCTGAGCTGTCATTGCCATAAACATAATGGGATCCAGATGAAGAAAGTAAGTGGTAAGATTTTTAATTATGTGAGAGCATGTTCCCCAAGACCACCTGATTGTTTCTTCACATGGCAGACTCCTTTCTCCCCACCTGGAAACTGTGTGACAGTCCTGACTATTCTACACCTGAATGTAGTTGCCATGATGCCTCTTCCTTTTCCTGTATGCATTGCCACAGATCTGATAATAAGCAGTATATCCTAAATGGAAACCTCTATCTTATCATCTATTCAATGCTCCAGACCTGCAGTGGCCACCTCTGGATAGTTCCATCAAGATGGCTCACTAGTGAAAATATTGCTGCATAGGATATCTGAGAGTTCACTGCCTGTGTTTTCCTCTAGGACTTTTATGGTGTCAAGATGTATCTACCTTGAATTTGTTTTTGTGTAAGGTGTAAGTTGCTGATCAAGTTTCATTTTTTTTGCATGTACTTGTTCAGGTCTCCCAACACCATTTGTTGATGAGGCTATTTTTAATCCATTTTATGCTTCTGTCCCCTATGTCAAATATTAATTGACCATAGAGACTTGGGTTTATTTCTGAGCTCTCTATTCTCTTCCATTGGTCTATGTGTCTGTTCTTATGCCATGCAGCAATATTTTGAATGATGTGTCCACTAGAGCAAAGGGCATAAAGGAAAGAATAAACAAATGGGATCTCACTGAAATAAAAAGCTTCTGCATGGTTAAGGAAAACAGCATTAAAATGAAAAGAGAACCAATCATGTGGGAAAACATATTTACCAATGATACCCCAGCCAAGGGTTTGACCTCTCTTCTACATAAAGAACTTATATGATTCTACTCCAGGAAGAAAGACAACCAAATTAAAAAATTGGCAAAATACCTGAATAGACACTTCTCAAAGGAGGATATAGAGAGGACATAGAGACATATGAGAAGATGCTCGGCATCACCAGCCATCAGGGAGATGCAAATTAAAACCACAATGATATACCACTTCACACTGGTGAGAGTAGCCATTATAAACAAAGCAACAAACAACAAGTGTTGGAAAGGATGTGGACAAAAGAGAACCCTAGTGTACAACTGGTGGGAATGCAGACTGGTGCAGCCACTGTGGAAAACTGTATGGAATTTTGTCAGAAAACTAAAAATGGAACTGCCTTTTGACCCAGCAATTCCACTGCTAGGATTACAACCTAAGAGCCCTGAAACACCTATCCATAAGAACCTATGCACCCCATTGTTTGTAGCAGTACAATTTACAATAGCCAAGAGCTGGAAGCAACCTAAGTGCCCATCAGTAAATGAATGGATCAAAAAGCCATGATACATTTACACAATAGAATACTGTGCAGCAGAAAGAAATTAGGAGCTCCTACACTTGGTGACAGGATGGGTGGAGCTGGAGAGCATTATGCTAAGTGAAATAAGACAGGTAGTGAAAGATATATACCATATGATCTCACCTTTAAGTGGAACCTAATCAACAAAAACAAACAAGCAAGCAACATATAACCAGAGACATTGAAATTAAGAACAATTGGACAGTAACCAGAGGGGAGGTGGGAGGGGATAATGAGGGGGGAAGGGGGAAGTGTTTTCAGGAACAATAACAAAGGACACATGGACAAAACCAAAGGGGGTAGAATCAGGGAGGGAGGTAGGGATTGCTGGGGTGGGGAGTACATGCAGACAACTGTGCTTGAACGATAATAAACTAATTTTAAAAAAGGGAAAAAAGATAGCCCGTTAAGACCTCAAATTTCTCTGAAATCAAATTGATAACCAAAACAGTTCTCTATGTTGATGATAGGGTGATTTTCCCTGTTACCAAGGTTGGATTTGTCCATATCAAGAAGGGTATTGTGGTCATCCCTGGGCCTGGAGCATTGGAACTAGTACACTCCACACCTTGCTTCCCATCTGAGCTGCTCTGCTTTAATTGGCTTTATATAATCAAATTCTGTAAATGATTTTATTTCAAAACCTATAATGCTCTTAAAACTTTTTGAAAACCACTGTTCTGTTTCATTTTTAATATTTTCCTCTCCGTTACATTATCCAATCAATTACAAATTCTTATTCAGTGTATCTACCCAATGTTTTCCAAATCTGTGTTTTCTATTCTGAAGCCTCAAAGTGCAGGTCCTTGTGCCTCCTGACCAAGACTATCAAAAAGCCTCTTGGCCAACACTCAAAATCCAAGATAGCTTTTAAAATCCACCCTCAATCAGCTACCTGCCAGTCTGAGCTTTTTAAACAAAGCTCCATATATTTCACTACCTTGCGCCCAAATGCAAACTAAATATGAGCTCCTTTTCTGGTATGTCTGATTATCCTTCCCTGATTATCTCCCACAACTCCCTCCCATGAACCTTCCACCAAACTGAACATATCCTGTTTTCTTCACTTTCCTGCTTTGCTTCATGCAGACTCTTAGGGTTGAGAAAAACCTTCCCTTCATTATTTTTTTCTTTTTCACCTCCTGATAATTAACTCCATTTCAATTTTTTAAATTATGGTAAAATACATATAACATCACACCATCTTAACCATTTTTAGGTGTACAGTTTAGTAGTATTAGGTCCATTCACATTGTTGTCTCACCAATCTCCAGAACTTTTCCATTTTGCAAAAATGAAACTCTCCCCATTAAAAAAAAAATGTCCAATTCCACCCTCTCCCAGCTCCTGGCAACTACCCTTGTACTTTCTGTCTTTGCAAAATTGACTACTCTAGTTACCACATATAAGTGGAATTATACAACATTTGTCTTTTTTGGGCTGGCTTATTTCACTTAGCAAAGTGTCCTTCTCAAGGCTTATCCATGTTGTAGCATGTGTCAGATTTTCCTTCCTTGTTAAGGTTACTCCATTGTATTGATATACCACATTTTGTTTAACTACTTCCCTCCATTTCTAAACTCTACTTGTCTATTATGACCCAGCTTAAGAAAAAACTCCTCCAGGAAACTGCCTTATGTCCATGGCCAGAAGTGTCTCAATCCTCTGGTCCTTTTAGAGATCTGAAATGTCTGTCTTGATCACTTCTGTGTGATACCAATCACCAGATATTTTATATTCTGGCTCTTTGAGTGCATGCTTCATGGTTTACTTTAGGTTGAAAAGTTTCTGAGCACTGGAACCACCTCTGGTTTATGACACTGCTGCCCTCACCCCATCTACCCTACCCCATGGCCTAGTTCTGCTAATTATTTGTTGAATGCATGCATGTGTGCCTAGTCTAAATGGTCACTTTAAAGATAAAAGCCAAGTGTGAATGTTTCTTATATCCTTGAAAGTCTATCTTTTCCACTTGATTATGGACCTTCTCTGATTATCAAAAATTCTAATTACAAAGAGCTCACTGACATAAATGTGCTGAGTCTACACATCTAAAAATTGTAATGATGGATATAGACACAATAGTTTAGATGATCATGGATTTTATTCAGTCCAAACACATTAAAAAATTCATTTTCTAAAACTCTTAAGCCAGCTCCATGTTTCTAGTGCCAGTCAGACGGCCAAGACCAAACAGTGGAGTTAGCCAAAGGCAGTGCCACAGTCTCTATGGTCAAAATACGTGACAAGAACCCTAAATGTCCACCATGCACATGGCATCAATGTCAGTCCTGACACATCTGACTGGAAATGGCAGCATTCAGCCATAGTCATGTAAGTTATATAAACATGCCCTCTAACCATACTCCCCCATCCTTTGAGTTAATAAAAAGACCTTGTGCATAAATGGAAGAGAGAAATTTCTGAGAGCACAAAAGTGAAGACACTTTTAGAGTTGGAAGAAGTCTTATAGATAATCTAGTCAAACCCACTTATCTTATAGAGACTTCATAAATTGTCCAAGGTCTCAGACCAAAGTTGTTGAAGTGCTGGTCCTATGCATCAAATCTCTTAACTCCCAGGCTAGGGAAAAATATATTACAAACTCTCCCAAGATTTCAAGCCATTAATAGAAAGAAGGAATGGACAAATAAGAGGCAATGGGTACTTCCTTATATCATAGGGTACACAAGCAGTTTTCTTAAAAAGAATGATCAATTTATAAGTGCAAATGTAATAATATTTATCAGGTTTATCAGTAGTTTCTTGGTTCTTCTGGAAATGATTTTGTAGATTCTTGTAAGCATTATCGTGGTCACAAAAGCATTTGTATTAAGCACTTAATTATTTGTGACAATATGCTAGGCACTATACAAAGAGAATTGCCTAGATATGGTATATACCCTCCAAAAATTTGCAGTAGAAAACATCAGTTGGAGCTTAAAATATTAATTATATTCATTATGAAACATAGGATTAATAATGTAATTACTGTTTAGAATCTATGGTTTAATTCCTAACACTATAGTCAATGTCTTTAAATGTGAATGCAAATATTATGTGTGCATAAATACAGATACACATAAATTTCATATGGAACATGACAATTCTACTATACATCAATTTCCTTATATCAGTGATAAAATTCATATATATATATATATATAAAATCATTTTAGTCATCTCAGATGATAGAAGGCCTATAAATTGGCTTTCTTACAGCTCAGAGGACTTATTGATTTCTATAGAAGGTTAAATGGATACTTTTGGTTCAGGGTCTACCAGGTTAGCACCAGGCATTTGAAAATTTATTGAGTTTTGCTCAATTGCTTTTTTTATATGACATTTAAAGAAGAATAGATACATGCAGATGCTACATCTGCATATACATATATTTACAAGGCAGATACATTTGTCAATAATATTTACTAGTGACATTATAGCTCATGGTTCCCACAGTTTATTTAGTTATACCTGAGAGAGATGAAAATATATTTTGTGTGGATGTGAAAAGTGATACAAATTTGAAATTATCTATGCTAATCAAGCAGCAGTGCAGAAAATCCAAAGGACTAGTCAATTATTTAGTTGAACTTAGAACAATTATTTTAGCAACAAATTTACCTTTTAAATTCCAGCATTATAGTCACTCTTTTTATTTATTTATTTCTATTTTTAAATTAAGTTTATTGGGCCCTGGCTGGTGTGGCTAAGTAGATTGAGTGCTAGCCTATGAACCAAAAGGTCACCAGCTCGATTCCCTGTCAGGGCACATGCCTGGGTTGTGGGCCAGGTTCCCATTGGGAGGTGCCCGAGAGACAATCAGTGTTTTACTTGCACGTGAATGTTTCTTTCCCTCTCTTTTTCCCTCCCTTCCCCTGCCTCTAAAATTAAATAAATAACATCTGTTAAAAATTAAATTTATTGGGGTGATATTTGCTAATAAGATTATATAAGTTTCAAGTGTTCATTCTGATCTTACTGCTCCAAACAGATAATTATGAAGAGACTTGGAGTTTTGGATGTCCTTTGGTCCAAATCTTTATTTTTGGGATTGGTATACACTTCCAAAATACTGACCATAGCATCTGGTACATTCATACCTGTTAATCTGGGTGGTGGAAAGATGTAACTTGGAGTTCCAGCCCTAGTTCAGTGACATTGGGCAATCCCATATCATCCATTTGTTCTTTCATTCAGTAAATGATCAGTGTCTATCATGTACCAGATGTTGTGGTCAGTATTTTGGAAGTGTACTCACCCCCAAGATATGATAGGCTTGGACCAAAGAATGTCCAAAGCCCCAGGTCTCTGCGTAATAATTTATTTGGAGCAGTAAGACTGGAATGGAAAATTCATTCTAAATTAGAATAATTGAGGTCTGGCTTGTGTGGTTCAGGGGGTTGGATGCTTGCCTGTGAAACAAACACTCACTGGTTTGATTCCCAGTCAGGGTACATGCCTGAGTTGCGGGCTAGGCCCCCTGTAGGGGACGCACAAGAGGCAACCACACATTGATGTTTCTCTCCCCCTTTCTCCCCCACTACCCCTCTCTCTAAAAAAAAATTAAAAATCTTGTAAAAAAGAATAATCGAGCCCTGGCTAGTGTGGTTCAGTGGATTGAGTGCCAACCTGCAAAGCAAAGGGTCATGGGTTCAATTCCCAGTCAGGACACATGTCTAGGTTGTGGGTCAGGTCCCCAGTAGGGGGTGCATGAGAGGCAACAGGTTGGTGTTTCTCTCCCTCTCTTTCTCTCTCTATTCCCCTCTCTAAAAATAAATAAATAAAATATTTTTAAAAAGAATAATCCAAATTTGAAATAATGGACAGTTTGTGTATTTGTATGTGCACATATATATTTTCTCTCTGCCTCTTCCTCCCATTACCTAGCAACACCACCATGTGGTCAAGTCTAGTTAGATAAGCTGCTTCAAATTGTTTCTACATGACAATCATAATATTTCTCCTAAGATGCTTACATTTACAGATATCCCTTTGAAAGTAGCACAAAATTTGCTTTCACTCCGCTTAGGTTTGGCAGAAGTGATCTGTCCAATAACAAGAGTGTTTTTGTCTTGACTAAAGGGACCATTATTGCCACTGATGTTTCTGTGTTGCGGAGGATCTGGCAGTGGGGAAAATGAAGTAGGGAACAGCTTTTCTTCTTTTCTTCTATTTGTTCTCCTGGATGAAATATTTCTGTGTAAACAAAGGATTTAGGGTATCATTATTTTTTTTCTGTATTCCAAATTTTCCCATTATGCCAGTATGTTCAGCTGAAGTAACATTTTAGTTAGTATTCCTTTACCTGTGATGAAGAGCACATACAAAAACACATATAGAGATGCCCCTCTCTATAGATATAGCTGTAGATAAATGCAAACATATGTATCCAAGAGCAAACACATGTCTTTCAAGTAGAACTCTATGATAAATATGTGTGTAATGCAGTGTGGTCCAATGTGATATTTGTAACCTTTCAAATTACTATTAATCAGATTTTTATGGAAAATCCAATATACACTTTAATCTTCATTTTTAGGATAGTTCCTACTTATTTGGCCTTAGGACTTAACTGCATAATCACACAATAAACAGTACAGTAAACAATTATTAGTGGGAGATATTTTCTTAAGAAATACTATGCTGCCCTGGCTGGCAGAGCTCAGTGGATTGAGCATGGGCTGCGAACCAAAGCATCGCAGGCTCGATTCCCAGTCAGGGCACATGCCTGGGTTGCAGGCCACAGCCCCCAGCAACCGCACATCGATGTTTCTCTCTCTCTCTCTCTCTTTTTCCCTCCCTTCCCTCTCTAAAAATAAATAAAATCTTTAAAAAATTTAAAAAATACTATGATTTTATATTACTTATAAATAAATAATGCACTAACTACATAAGTGGTACATTACAAATTGCATGTTCAAAATGTTCTGCCCCAATGCCAAGGCATAATGAGCTCTTGACCTTAAGTTGTTATATTGAGGTATTGATGCACTCCACTTCACCAAAATTGATGTGAAAATATTTTTTTTCAGAGCACCATAAGACATTGGCTGTCCTGTGCTTTCAAATTGATTTATCTACTAGTTAAATGGGTACCATCAAATAGACAGGCTGCAAATGAAACAGAGCAACTAAAACCTTATGCTAGCTGCTTAACATGGTAATTGAATCATGGATTTTTATTTCAGTTACTGTCTTAGGGTAATTAGTGCAGATTACTTGAATTTTAATATTTTCTTAGACAAGTCATATTGTACTATACAGCCATTTGTTTTTCATGATTATTGACTACAATTTTAATAGCATATTAAGTCAACAAGCATTTACGTTTCCCTCTTGGTCAACTTTAGTCAGTGTTTAGAAATATAGATTTATAACATCTCAAAGCAATAAATCAAAAGTGAACAAGCATTCAAGTTGTTTGATTTTCTGAAATTGCAGAAGTCAATGGAGTGTCTCCTTATTCCACTTCCTCTGTGTTGCCCAAATTTTCCCATTGTAACAATATTTGCTGATCCACCTCTTGTTTCATAATGTGGCTCTATGTGAATTCATATCTGGCAAATTTTTTTTTAAAAATTAACTGTTTTTACTATTACCTTAATTGGTTAAAATCAATTAAAATATTTTCCATTGGATTTTTAACATTTATTTGATATATAGAACCATTGTAAGAAAGTTGTGATGCCTTATTAAAATAATAGTGACTATAAGGATTAAGATTCATGCCCATGAAGAAGCTCCACAAACATCAGCCTGCACTAAGTATAATCATTACAGAGACATGATACTTTTGGGAATTTATGTATAAAGATGTTAAGCATTGGCATCTGTTAAGATGTTAAGCTTGGTACCTATAAGAGGTGAATTGTTCATTAGCTATGACCATTCCATTACTTGAGCGTCCTAAGACAGCACTGGGGGCTGCAAGGTGATGAGCTGCTTATTAAAGGCAGTTGATTTGTTGTTGGCTACTCCAGTCATGTTAAGTCTTCCAATCTGCCATTGTACACAGTACCTTACACACAGTACAGTATAATATATGCAGTAGGAACCAGTCACCTGGCTCCCTTTTTATCTGTTTGGTCATGGGGTCTTTAATAACTTTACTGGTGAAAAATACCTGGGGAGCATTTTGTGGAGACAACTCTGTCACCATTATAGCTTCTTATTACAAGAACATTTTTTGTTACTTTCTGAATCTCTTATAGGAGGCCAGAGGAAGACAGAAGACAAGAGAAGTGTATCACCACTCCTTCTCAATGTCTCAGAGGCCTTATTGATGGTTCCTGATGGTTCAAGCTCCAAAGAATTGGGGAGGAACTCAGCAGGGCCCTTCTGCTGGTGTGGCATTGTTTGCTAGGTTTAGAATATTCATTTAGAAAAGTGAATGTTGTCTCATAGAAATTTCCAAGAATTTAGTTTGCAAAATCAACAAATCACAAAGTTTGAGGAGAGGTTCCCAGGAGAAGACCTCTAAGAGGCCAATCCATGCTTCATTCTCCCTCATCTGCAGAGATTTTTTTTCACAGAGTTAAATTTTGGGGGGGTTACCATGAAATCCTGACTCAGGTCTTCCTGAATGAAAAATGGTACTAGGTAACCACTGTTTTCCTATCTACAATGAAAGCAGAAAGACCATAATTACCCTGAGTTAAAAACAGCATTTTATGAGAACATATTCAAATTATTAGATATTTACTTAATATTTGATTATCTCTCTTCCATGAAATGGAAATAGTGACAGGACACTGAGTTGCTTGATGAGAGGTACCCTAGTGACAGGTCACTGGATAGCAAGGAGGACTGATGGTGTGGTGATTCTCCACTGTCCTCTGCCTTTTCCTTTTGTCTTTAGGTGGCCTGGACTGGTCAAAGCCTGAAAACTGACATTGCAGTTTTTCCTCCTTGGAAGATGACCATGTTTAACCACTGGGGAAGAAGCATGTTTCCTCACATGACTGGCTCACTCTGGGGTGAAGAGCATTAGCTTGTTCTGCTGTAAGGGTTTCTAGTTCTGAGAACTCTAAGTATGTGAAGAGATGCTTCAGATCAAAGTTATACCAGGGAATACAGACACAGTTCACAAATGGCTGTGGATCTTTAGGGAGAGGGGCAGCTCAGGGCCCACATTACTTTGTTATATTGAATGGATTTAATGGTAGTTGTGTTTTTTCTACCTTTAATCTCAAAACAACAAGGATTCAAACAAATGTAAGCCAAGAATTTCTTTCTGACATCTCTGTGGCAGACTGATGCTATATCACTGATTTTAAACAATAATCTTTGAAATCAATTGTTAGCAGTAATTAGTCAGATTGTCTCCTCTGCTCTGGGCTGCTAATAAGCTCCAAAACTGGTATTTGATGGGAGTAATCTCTAATTTTGAATAAATTTATGACAATAATTATCCAGGCAAAATAGTTCAGTAACTGATATGATTGTTAAGCGATATTTGTAAGACAGAATAATTCAGTCACAATGCTTGGTAGAAATAGAAAGGGAAGGACTTCTCTAGGGAAGGCTGAGGCTATTTAAGTGAGGAGGAAACAAGGAGACCTCCTGCCTGACTTTGGAACCTTCCACAAACAGGGAGATGGGTGAAGAGGTGACAGCCAATTAGAATTAACCTATTGATTCCTAGCTAGCTTTCCCAAACATAAAACTGCCTAGGGAGAGGCACTCCCAGATAGTTAATCTCTCTGATCCTCCTGAGCATGTCATTCCCCTGGCCTCTGAGGAGCTCAGGATGTAGCTACTGATCTTCAAGCTTCATGTTAAGGTTAAACAATGATACCACACAGGAAGCAGCAGCTGGGTCATCCTGTCATGGCCAAGGGGTTGCTTCCCAGGGAAATTGTTTAACCACAATCAGAACTGGAAATTGTCCTGAATCAGATGGTCTGGTTCAAGTGATAGGTGTCTCTTGATGCTGCCCATTTACTTCCTTTTAACTTTCATTTAGTGATAAAAGTTCATGTTGGCCAAACAGAATGGTTGTCACTCTAAATTAGGGTAAGGAAATGTTGCTAAACAGCTCATGGTGCCACCCAAAATCTGGTAACTTATATTTCACCCCTTAGCCTCCTCTTGTTAGACCAGGAACAGTAGTCAGGACGGGACTGAACAACTCTTGTTTTTTAGCTAATATTCCTCTGAGACAAGAACTCCCAAAAGATGATTGTTTAAGTGCCTGGACAATAAAAGTATCGCACAAAGACAGGGAAAACTCACTCTTTAGTGCAGGGGGGGTTGTGGGATTGGGCTGGAGAGATGCAAGGGGGACGCAGGCAGATAGTAGTGACCTCCCTCAGGTGTTGCTTCTTCTCAGGGATTTTCTCTGCAACTTTTGTTGGCTTTAACAGGGAAAAAAAAAACAAAGTTTAAAATACATAGCACATGCAGACTTTTAAAACAATAAGCACCTTTAATTAAATGGGAAAACAATTAGCCTTGCCTAACCTATTCCTACCAAAAAGTTGTAATTTGAGATAGTTGAGCTGTGATGTGAACCTCTAATTAAAGGTTGGGTGGGTAGGGTAAGTGGAGGCATTCTGGCTTCCTCACCCAGGTGTCTGGGTAGCTAAGGGAAGCAGTGTTCCCACAGCCTTGGATGGGCCTGATAACTAGTGTTCTTGAGTTACAGCCTTGAGACTGGGTCCGATAAACTGTTCCTATAACACAAAGTGGGCTTGCATGCGTAGAATTATGTTATGTAATGTCATGGCAGTTTTCTGTCTTTGTTCCCCTCTAGTACTTAAACAGGTAGGTGCTCCCTGCTAGGGTGATGATGGGGGACACACACAAGGGGACAAGTGCCATGATGGGTGCCATGATAGGAAGCAAGGGCCACGATGCAGAGACATGCAGATAGATATGAAGCTTGCAGCGTGCATGGCTCACCCACCCATGAATAAAGGCATATCAGATATCCCAGTGGTTCCATGAATATTATTCCATCTGCATGAATACCATGGACCTGCTTGGTCTTGAAGGAACACAACACAGGGTGGCACAAGAATCTCATGGTAAAAGTAAAGATTATACTTTTCAGATATTTCTCCCATCAACAAATCAGTAATTTAGAAACTAACATTTCAACTCCAACATGGTATAAATCATGCCCAAGCAGCATGGGGATTGTGGGTAATATATAAATATCATTTATACAATCAACAACATGTGAAGCACATCTTTGGACATTTGCATATGCTTGTTATGAAAGTACACTCTTTGCCCCTAGTTTTATTGTTGTCCTCACTAAGAGTGGAGAAAAAGTGAAAAGGCAAGGATCCCAGACTTTGGTCCCTATTTTGGTGCACAGCACAGAGCCTCTGCTTTGAATTGCTAATGATGAGTGAAGACTTAAATTATCCATGCAGTATACAATTCAGCAGTAAGGCTTGGCCACAAGTAGGAGTATCCCCTGATAAATAATCTAAGTCATTTCTGATGATTTTTAAGTCTCTTCTGGAAAGGGACAGAAGGAATGGGAAAGAATTAGAAACCTCCTTTCCAGCCACTGTTTTAGCCATTAAAAATATTCTCCAAATCATCACAAGATGATGTTATTCTAAAAGAGTATCACAATGCCTGGAGTTGCAACAGAATGAGTCTATTAGATACAAACTCATTTCCCTAGATGTGTCTGGAATTGAAGAGGCCATTCTGCATTTCACCTTCTGATTATAATGTGTAGCCCTGGAATCCAGCCCTAATCTCATGCAGGGAAGATTTTCACAAGTCAAGCTGGACCACACAGGTCAGAGGACCCAGCAAGCTGGGCAGAACATGTGTCTAGCAGGAGCAGGATAATCAAAGTGTAATTGAATTGTGGGGATACTGATGTTTGTTCAGATAATCTAACAAGGCTCAGAGGATGCATTTTAACCTTAGGAACACTTGGGTTCCTTGCTGCTGTTGGGGTGGGGACTGTAGAGTAATGAGTCTATGCAGTCTATGAGTCCATGAAAGCACGAACTACTTAAGGAGCCAACCCCAGGGACTGACAGCCTGAGGAAGGAAACTTTTTTCATATTCTTCTTTTCTACACATCATAATCCCTCCTGTTGACATATTGGATATTCTTGACATTAGCTGTCAAACTCTGATCATTACTAAGATTTTCTCCTTAATCATGTCAAGTACAGCATTTATCATGGAAAGTACCATTGCCTTCACCAAAAACTGCAATTCACTGCCATTTGAGTCATTAAAAATGAGACTCAAGATCAAATTAGCCACTACTATGATCAATTGGCAGCCAACATTGAAAAGCTTACCTTTTGCTTACGCTTGCCTTTAGGGATAGCTTTTTCAACATTTGCCCCAGTAATCTGGCACTTGGGTTTTGAGGCAGTCTCCTTGTTTTCTGACTTGGATGGGGATGCTTGGAGAGAGTTGTGGCCAGGCACTCGAGATAGTAAGTCGAGATCAATCTTCACCCAGAGATTTTTCAGATTCCCTTGCTCTTGTAGAGGGGATAGAAGCTCAGTCTGCATGACAGGGGTGGGTGAAAAAGCTGGCTCATCATTATTGATGAATAAATTGTTATTGCTGCTGCTACTGATTAAGGTGCTGAGGGTCAGGCTAGCACCACATGTTTTCTTGGATTTGGCTAAATTGCCCCCAGGAGCAGTACAAGGAGGCAGGACTTTGATCTTTAGGGTTTCTTCCTGATCCGTGTTAGAATCAGCTGTAGATGAATCTGTTTCAATGAATTCCCAGGACTTTGGGACAATTTTTCCAAGCCCTCTATATTTCGTCTTCTCAGTGGCCAATGGGATATTAGACCTTGGTTCATTCCTAGGAACTGGTTTGTGGGCAGTAGCTTTGTTGCGGCTTCTTTGTACACCAGGAAGCTCCATACTTCCTTTTTCTTTGGGAGTGCTACTAGTAATATTTGGTTTGGGCCAGGTAAACCCATCAATGCTGGTATTATTCTTGAACTTTTGGGGCTGTTTTTTCCCAATTGTCCTTTGAGAAGCTGTCTCAATAATTTCTGACAACTTATGCTTCAAAGCCTTTGCATCTGGAGTTTTTTGGGTGTGCTGTGGATGGGTTTTCTCCCTGGTGAGACTGAGGAGAGGCCTCTCTTTAGGTTGAGCCAGTACCTGGCTGAGGGTTGTCTTCACTTTGACCTGGACTTCCATTGGTTGCATGATTGCAGGAGGCACAGAAACTGTCTCCATGGGTGTCTCATTTTGGCCACAAATAAGTGATTTGTTCTGGGATGTCACTTTGTTAAGCCATTTATCCAACTGCCACTTGTTGGTTGTGGGAGGCTCAGGCTACAGATTGAGAAACAGCAGCAAGAATGAATTTCACATCTGGGAAAGATTCAGGAGAACCCTCAGTATACTGGCTCATTGCTGGTAAAAGCTTTGGATGTTAAGTGATCATTCACACATTTACAAATGCACACACAGAATCCACATTAATCAAATTACCTAGAAGACCAAATATGCCACAAACAAGCCGCTATATACTTATTTAAACTAATTTCCACCCTTCTTATGAAAAATGTTCTCCACTCTGGCAAGGAAGGAAAAATTTATTCACAAAGAGGTTTTTTCAGGGAGTGGATAGGGAGGCTTGGAAGGAAAACATGTTTCCAAAATCCTTTGGTGAGACTCATACTAAATCTTTCACCAGGAAACAGGTGTAATGATCTCTGGTCCTGAAATGAATGTAAGCAAGCCTCAAGTGTAATTCAAAAGAAAAGGCTTTCTTATTTGCCAGAGTGCCAGTGACTCCTGTATGATGCTATAATTCACTGCAAAAAAAATAGGTCTTTTCTATTTTTACTGAAGGATGAAAAGATTTATCCATCTGAAAAACCACTGAACTTTTCCTGGTGTATGGGGACATGCATGCTGGTATTAACATCTTCTGTTAAGCCATGGAAATGATGCATACAATTCAGATGCTTGATTCCTAACTGAATTCTGCTGTTGAGCTAAAAGAGCCATCATTTTTATTAGAATTGCTATTCATTTGAAAGACATCAGCTGAGGCATATGGCACCAGCTAATAGAAGGTGACAGAATTAAAAACACTTGAGTAGCTGTGATTCCAACCTGCACAGGGCAATGGCAGGTAAGGGTCCAGGAAATTGTATTGGCTGCCATGTTGGCATCGTAGCTCTGACTTTAAGGGCACCAGTTCTAGTAACACACAGAGCCTGGTTTCAGTCCTGGCACTGCCATTGCCTATCTATGAGATATTGTGAAAGTTCTTTCTTAACTGGCCAGAATTTTCTTCTCTCATCTGTAAAATGGGGATAGTAATAGCAGGGACATCAAAGGGTATTTTTATGAGTATGAAATGGGTGAATGCAAGCCAAGACCTTCTCACAGTATTGGCACATCGTAAAATTTCAAAAAGCATGAGCTATTAATAGTAGTAGTATTGCTGCTGAATCTTCTATTATTTTTTCTGATTATTGAAAAACAAGTGTGTAAAGAGCGTGCTGTACAAGGTTTAGGATTGGGGGAACTGAGGATCTATCCTGGACTCAAAGAGGAAGGGAAGGAAAAGACACATTCTGTCATTTCAAAATGATCATTTTAGCATTTTATGGACCTGTGCTAAGTATTTTCATGACTTATTATCAAACATACTCAAAGGAAGCAACTTAATTTTTTTAAAGTGACCTTTCAACCACCACACTTCTTGTGCCTTAATTGCCAACTGGAAATTCATTGCTTCATCCTAGAGTAAGGAGGCATGGTGTCCCCAAGGCTAGAAGTGAGTCTTCACTAGTTCTCTAGAAAGACAAGCTGCTAGACCAGTTATTACCATTTCAGTTTACATGTCAGGAAGCTTGAAGGCTCAAACTAGCTGAGTCATACAGAAAGTCAGTCACACAGCAAGAAGTTTGCCTGATAGAGACTGTGTGGATATGTTTTTAATTGTTTTTTTTAATATTTTATTTTTGTTCTATTACAGTTATCCTAATTTTTCCACCTTTTCTCTCCTCCACTCAGCCCACCCCCTGCTCCCACAGTCAATCCCCACACTGTTTTAGAGTGAAAAATGCTATCAAATACAGTGGTACCTCTGTACTCATCATTAATCCAGTCTGGAACTCATGACACATGCTAAAACCAATGAGTACTGAAGGATGAAGCATTTTCTCTTTTGGGGTGGTGCCATTACTCATACAAGTTCTAGCAAGTGTGATGAATTCTGAGCAACTGCTGAGTGCTGAAACATTTTTTTTCTCATCAAAATACAATGAGTAAAGGGTTTGACAAGTTCTGAAGCTAATAAGTACCCAGGTATGTCTGTTCCTGAACACTATTGTGCTAAATTAATTATTGTGCTGAAAGTGTGTGCTCTGTGTTTGGGGTGCTGCCTCAATGACAAGCAGATCATGCTTGCAGCACTAGCTACTTCACCCACCTCTGGAATGGCCACACAAGGCAATGCATTGGATTCACTGTCTGTGGTGCTGCTTTCAGTATCTGAGTCTGACTCTGAGCTGCTCTCTGAATCACTGGAGCTGAGAAATCCCCCATTGGCTTGCACTTCAGGTGGGAGCTGAGGTGTCACCAAGAGAGGGCTGAAAGAAAAATAACATCATTCATTTCCTTTTTCAGTCTCAAGCCATCTGGAAGAGCCCAGTTCAGTTTAAGGGCCTATGATTTTGGGGACACAGGTAGAGTGGAGCATTCCATCTGAACTTACAATTGAGAAAAGGAGGCTTAGTGAGGGGCCCATGGTCAAAGGTTTCATTAAATCCAGATCTATTTGTGTCCAAGTTCCTTGGGATCAATCACACTGCCTTCCAAAGAAAGCCTTGCCCCCTCACTCCACATGAAAACTTTAAGCCAAGGTTGCATGCAGATACATATGCACAGTATAGCATTATTAGTAGTCCTATTTTTTCCAGTTAAGACCATTTTTATTTTCTGTTGCCATATGTTTAATTTTAATTTTATTTTTATTTTGTTATTCCAGTACGTTTTCTGCCTTTTACCCACATCCTTTTTACCCCCCCGCCCTCACCACCACCCTCCCATTTCCACCCCCCTTGTTATTGTCCATGTGTCCTTTATACTAGTTCCTGCAAACCATTCACCATTTTCCCTGAAATTCCCTCCTCTCTCCCCATTAGTCACTGTCATCCTGTTCTCAATTTCAATGTCTTTGGTTATATTTTGCTTGTTTGTTTGTATTGTTGATTAGGTTCCCATTAGAGGTGAGATCAAATGGTATGACTTTCACCGACTGGCTTATTTCGCTTAGCATAATGCTTTCCACTTCTATCTATGCTGTCACAAATGCTAGGAGCTCCCTCTTTCTTTCTGCTGCATAGAATTCCACTGTGTCAATGTACCATAGTTTTTTGATGCATTCATTTACTGATGGGCACTTAGGCTGCTTCCAGCACTTGGCTATTGTAAATTGTGCTATGAAAATTGGGGTGCATAGTTTCCTGTGGATTGGTGTTTCAGGGTTCTTAGTATATAACCCTACAGTGGGATTGCTGGGTCAAAAGGAGGTTCCATTTTTAGTTTTCTGAGGAAATTCCATAGTGTTTTCCATAGTGGTTGTACCAGTCTGCAATCTCACCAACAGTTTTGTAGGGTCCCTTTTTCTCCACAACCTCTCCAAAACTTGTTCATTGCTTTGTTTATGATGACCATTCTGAGTGGTGTGAGGTGGTATCTCATTGTGGTTTTAATTTGCATCTCTCTGATAGCTAGCGATACTAAGCACCTTTTCATGTGTCTCTGGACCTTCTGTATGTCCTCCTTGGAGAAGTGTCTGTTCAAGTCCTTTGCCCATTTTTTGATTGGGTTGCTTGTTTTCTTAGAGTGGAGTTGTGTGAGTTCTTTATATATTTTGGAGATTAAACCATTGTCTGAAGTATCATTGACAAATCTGTTTTCCCTTACAGTTGGTTCTCTTTTCATTTTAACACTATTTTCTTTAGCTGTGCAGAAGTTTTTTTATTTTGATAAGATCCCATTTGTTTATCCTTTCTTTTATGTGCCTTACTCTAGCGGACATATCAGTGAAAATATTGCTACGTGAAATATCTGAGATTTTCCTGACTATGTTCTGCTCTAGGACTTTAATGGTGACACGGTTTATATTTAAGTCTTTTATCCAGCTTGAATTTATTCTTGTGTATGGTGTAAGTTGGTGTTTGAGTTTCATTTTCTTGCATGTAGCTGACCAGGTCTCCGAATACCATTTGTTGAAGAGGCTATTTTTACTCCATTTTATGCTGCTGCACCCTTTGTTAAAAATTAATAGACTGAAGAGACTTGTGATAATTCAGGGCTTTCTGTTGTGTTCCTTTGGTCTATCTGTTTATTTTTATTCCAGTACCAGCTGTTTTGATTACAGTGGCCTTGTAATAGAGTTTGGAATCATGTATTATGATTTCTGCCACTTTGCCCTTCTTTCTCTAAATTGCAGTAGCTATTTGGCATACTTTATGGTTTCATATAAATTTGTGTACTCTTTGTTCCATATCTGTGGAATATGCCATTGGTGCTTTAATAGGTATTGCATTGAATCTGTGAATTGCTTTGGGTAGTATGGAGAATTTTTTAACATTTTATTTTTTATCTATTTTTATTTCTTTTCATATATTTTATTGATTGTGCTATTACAGTTCTCCCATTACCCCCCTTCATTACCCTCCACCTTGCACACCCTCTCCCACCCACATTCCCCCTTTTAGTTCATGTCCATGTGTCATAAGTTCTTTAGCTTCTACATTTCCAATGCTATTCTTGCCCTCCCCCTGTCTATTTTCCACCTATCATCTATGCTACTTATTCTCTGTACGTTTTCCCCCTCTCTCCTCCAACCACTCCCCTGTTGCTAACCCTCCATGTCATCTCCATTTCTGTGGTTCTGTTCCTGTTCTACTTGTTTTCTTAGTTTCTTTTGGTTTTGCTTTAGGTGTGGTTGTTAATAATTGTGAGTTTTCTGTCATTTTACTATACCTGTTTTTTTTATCTTCTTTTTCTTAGATAAGTCCCTTTAACATTTCATATAATAAGGGCTTGGTGATGATGAACTCCTTTAACTTGACCTTATCTGAGAAGCACTTTATCTGCCCTTCCGTTCTAAATGAAAGCTTTGCTGGATAGAGCAATCTTGGATGTAGGTCTTTGCCTTTCATGAATTGGAATATTTCTTTCCAGCACCTTTATAACTATAAGGTCTCTTTTGAGAAATCAGCTGACAATCTGATGGGAACTTCTTTGTAGGTTACTGTCTCCTTACTTCTTGCTGCTTCTAGGATTCTCTCCTTCATTTTTACCTTGGCTAATGTAATTATGATGTTCCTTGGTGTGTTCCTCCTTGGGTCCAACCTCTTCGGGACTCTCTGAGCTTCTTGGACTTCCTGGAAGTCTATTTCTTTGCCAGAATGGGGAAGATCTCCTTTATTATTTGTTCAAATAAATTTTCAACTTGTTGCTTTTCCTCTTCTCCTTCTGGTACCCCTATAATTCAAATGTTAGAATGTTTAAAGATGTGTTGGAGTAGTATGGACATTTTGATGATGTTAATTCTTCCAATCCATTAACACAGTATATGTTTCCATTTGTCTGTGTCTTCCTTGATTTCTTTCTTCAGTGTTGTGTAGTTTTCTGAATACAGGTGTTTTAGCTCTTTGGTTAGGTTTATTCCTAGGTATTTTATTTTTCTTGTTGCTCTATCAAATGGGTTTTTTTTTTCTTGATTTCTTCTTCTGATGTTTCATTGTTGGTATAAAAATGCATTGGATTTCTGGATATTGACTTTGTATCCCACTGTTTGGCCAAATTTATTTAATAGGTCGAGCAGTTTTTTTTTTTGTGGAATCTATAGGATTTTCTATGTACACTATCATGTCACCTGCAAAAAAAAAAATGACAGTTTTCTTTCCTTCTTTCCAATTTGTATGCCTTTTATTTCCTTTTATTGTCTGATTGCTGTGGCTAAAACTTCCAATACTATGTTCAATAGAAGTGGTGAAAGTAGACAAACTTGTCTTGTTCCTGATCTTAGTGGAAAAGATTTTAGTTTTATTTATCTATTTATTTTTTATTTTTTATTTATTTATTTTTAGAGAGGGAAGGGAGGGAGATAGAGAGAGAGAGAGAAACATCAATGTGCGGTTGCTGGGGGTTATGGCCTGCAACCCAGGAATGTACCCTGGCTGGGAATCGAACCTGGGACACTTTGGTTCCCAGCCCGTGCTCAATCCACTGAGCTACACCAGCCAGGGCAAGATTTTAGTTTTTGCCCATTGAGTATGATGTTGTCTGTAGGTATCTTATATATGGCTTTTATTATGTTGAGTAATGCTCCCTCTATTCCCACTTTGTTGAGTGTTTTTTATCATGAATGGGTGTTGTACCTTATCAAATGCTTTTCTGCATCTATTGATATGGTCATATGATTTTTGTCTTTGCTTTTGTTTATGTGATGTATTACATCTATTGATTGGCAAATATTGCACCATCCTTGCATCCCTGGAATGAATCCCACTTGGTCATGGTGTATGATCTTCTTAATATTTCATTGGATGTGGTTTGTCAATATTTTGTTGAGGATTCTAGCATCTATGTTCATCAGCGATATTGGCCTGAAGTTTTCTTTCTTTGTTGTGTCTTTATCTGGTTTTGGGAGTAGGATGATGCTGGCTTCATAAAAAGAGTTTGGGAGTCTTCCATCATTTTGGATTTTTTTGAATAGTCTGTAAAGAATAGGGGCTAGCTGTTCCTTAAATGCTTTGTAGAATTCTCCTGTGAAACCATCTGGTCCAGGGCTTTTGTGTGCTGGGAGTTTTTTGATTACTGCTTCAATTTCATTTGCTGTTATTGGTCTATTCAGGCTTTCTCCTTCTTCTTCAATCAGTTTTGGAAGATCATATTTTTCTAGAAATTTGTCCATTTCATCCAGGTTTTCCAATTTCTTGGCATACAGTTCTTCATTGTAATTTCTTACAATCCTTTGTATTTCTGTGGTATCAGTTGTAATCTCTCCTCTTTCATTTCTGATAGTGTTTATTTGGGTCCTCTCTCTTTTTTTCTTGATGAGCCTGCTTACGGGCTTGTCAGTTTTGTTTATATTTTCAAAGAACCAGCTCCTGGATTCATTGATCCTTAGAATTTTGCTTTTTTAGTCTCTGTGTTACTTAATTCTGCTCTAATCTTGGTTATTTCCTTCCTTCTACTTCCTCTTGGCTGTCTTTGTTGTTGTTCCTTGAATTCTTGTAGACATAGCATTTGTTTGTTTGTTTGTTTGAAATGTTTCTATATTTTTTAGGTAGGCCTCTATCACTATGAACTTCCCTCTCAGGACTGCCTTTTCTGTGTCCCATAAGTTTTGCGTTCTTGTGAGTTCATTTTCATTTGTTTCCAGATACTTTTTTAAAAATATATTTTATTGATTAGGCTATTACCATTGTCCCACTTTCCCCTTCACTCCCCTCCACCCTGTACCCCCTCTCCCACCCACCTCCCCCTCTTTTGTCATGTCCATGTGTCGTACTTATAAGTTCTTTAGCTTCTACATTTCCCATACTATTCTTACCCTCCTCTTATCTAT